TGAAATGTCGGATTCGTAATCAGGACCTCAATTAACCCCCATATGCAAGTTTTCATCGACTTTGGTGAAAAAAGTGGTGGGCGCCAAATTGGCGCATAATGGCGCCAAATGACGCCAGCGCTCGAAACGAATGTGATATTCGTGATCAGGACATCGAATTACACCTATAGGCAACGTTTCAGCGAAAAAATTTTTTCAGTTTTTGGGGTAGGAATAGTTCAATAGTGCCAAATATTCTGCTCTTCCTAAGACTGGTATAGACAGTGCACTCTACGGTCAAGCCTAGAAGCATCGTCTTTCAATCCCACATCGTCCTACGACCCCAACGTCGCTGATTCCGCAACACACGCCCGACCCTGTTTGCCAATGTGGAAGCTCACTAACTGAAAATCCCCCTAATCAGAAGATTCAGCGTCAAAGAATTGGAAGGCAGTAGATGAATTACGCCTTTCAGCGAATGGCACGCTTTCTTGATTAAAGACAATTCCCGCGATCAAGTGTTACGGGTAGTAGATGCTCAGGAATGAAACAGTATCCCTTAATAACTCCCCAGTAGAGGAAGAAGCAAAAAACTTTGGGACTATCCTGAACAGAGACATCTTCAGCAAAGTGTTCGGACGGCGAGTGCATCATGAGGACGAGCCCAATCGGCAGGATACTACGTGGAATCGTTTCCCGGTAAGAGCATATGAAATTGCCCTACGACGCTCCAGGCAACGCTATGTACACACGCAATTCCGCTTGTAAGCCGTTGTCTTGCAGAGTGAAAGTAATCGTGGTTGCAATGGTTGCAATAATCACGCGTCTCTAGCTTCTTTATCTCGCCGTTTCAAGTGACGAAAGTGGTATATTCTCTGCGAATGCGGACAACGATGCCAAATGCAGGGAGGCATTTCGCGGACCACTTGATCGCGGGAGCTGTCTTCAAGATTAGCCGGAAACGGTAGTAGATGGTGCTATTCGACTCCCATCTAACTCTTGGTGTTAAGTTATCCGGATTCTCGGGTTCATTCCTTCGTACCGATTCAATTTCTTTGCCGTTTATCCTGGGCTAGTGGATAATCCACATTTGCAAAGTACGAACGCAGTCTTACATATAAATAAGGTTGTCTATAAAAAAGTCACCAGCATCACCTATGTTATTGCAGGGAGTGAAACGCTCGGCAGAGGCCTTGATCGATAAAGAAGTGGAGAAGTGCGCCGTTGATGCGAAAGAGGAAGCAGGAGGAGACTGTGTACTTTCGAGTGTAAACAACACTGCTTTACCACCATGTACGGATGACGAGGTTGCACTCTTTTCCGACTCGGATGTGGAATGTATTGCCATCGAGGACAATTCAGGTATGTTCTTAAGTGGGAGTACTTCGTGCTCTATATTAAATTTAGCATTAACATAAGCTACCGTCGCGGGCCTGCATCACCTGTTCTCCCGTTGATCATCGAGTTCTTCGAGCGAGCGCCAGTAACGTCTCCATTCGTCCCTGCAACGTGCAAGTGTTCGCTTGACATTCCTTGGAATCCAGTCGGTAATTGCTGTTATCCAGCGGCATCCCAGAAACTCATGACGTGCCCGACCCGCCTGGTCTTCAGAACCTTGACAAATGCGGCTGCGTCTCTGATCTTCGATCGCTGAGTGCGGAGCTCCGGATTCCCTCTCTCACTTGCGTGTAGCGGAAACTCCGAATC